TATAAAATTATTTTATTCTTTTATACATATATTTAGATTTTATATAGATTTTTAATATTTGATTTGTAAAATATAATTTGCATTTTGGAATATTATGTAAAATACTAAGAAAAATCAATACATTTTATTTTATTTTATAATTTTTTTTCTTTTATTCTTTTTTTATTTATTTGTTTCAAACTTATCGATCTGAATATATTTTTGATATCACGACAATATGGGCAACATGCATTTCAAAATTTACATCTACATCCTATATATACGGATCGATAACAGTCCGTATATATTTTCAATGTCACGACAATATGGGCTGCAGACATTTCAAAATTTATATCTAAGTCCAATATATACAGACCGTTAATGGTCTGAATATGTTTTACAGAAACCTACACATTAGTAGCATAATTTTTAAAAGTATTTGTTGAGTCCTCTATATTCAGACCGAAACCGGTCTCAATATACTTTTTTGGGTCGCCATTCAAGCGCCCAATTTTTCGTTCTTACAAAAAATGACATAGATATCCAAACCAAATTCAGTTTGAATATGTTTTCTGTAACCAGTGTCCCTAAATATTCAGACTGTTTGCGTTCTGTAATTCGTTGACGACCACTTAAGATTTCAAAATAATGAAAAATTAAGTATAAAGATATAAAAGAGGGGGAGTCACTACTCATCCAAATTATAAGGTGGGACAAGTCACCTAAAATAGGTCTCCGTAGAAATCAGGGTTCGGGGGTTCGGTTAAGAGTGAGGAAGGGCATATGCGCACCTCACAATCCTCCGCTTAATTCGGTTGCATATTTTAAAATTGGGGTTTTGATTCAATTTATTCATTATGTTTAAGTCTTAATAGGCAAACTTAAAAAAGATAAACTAAATTGAAACTTTTTTTTTTTTTTGACTAAATGGACAAGATTAAGAACACACATGCACAATAAACACAAATGAAAATTAAAGGGACTAGTTTGATTAAATTTGAAACAGGGAGGATTGATTTGATAAAACTCAAAACATGAAAGACTGATTTGAAAAGAGTTGATACCCATGGATTAAATTGCTTAACCATAAAACGTTTGAGTGAAATTGAAATGAGGAAAGATAATTTTGACTTTGACTTATTAAAGGAAATTAAGGATTTAAATTAATTAATTATGCAATGATTAACTTAATCAAATGATTAATTTGACATTAATTAAAATTAATTAATCACATTATTAATATTTAATTGAAATAATTAAGTAATGTAATTATCTTAAATTAAGATTAATAAATATGATTAATTTATTTTAATTAAAGTTAATTAATTTTATTAATCATAAATTAAGTAAATTATCTTAATTAATTAATATTTTTTTTTTACCCTTTTTTGTTTTAGTTTTTAATTTTTTTTTTTACAAGATTAAATCGGCTTCACCCGACCCAGAAACACAACCCGTCACCCAAATGTGCTAAAAACAGATTAGACTTTAGACGGAAAAACAAAATCTGAACCAAATAAAGAGGAATTTAGGGTTCTTGTTCATCAACACTAACAAAAGGAAAATAAATAAGCATCTACTTCAACTCAATTTCATGAATTCAAGAGAACATGTTTGATTTTTTCATTCATAATATCATCTTCAAATACAGTTTCAATACAGCAAAAATCTACTGCAATCAGAATCAAACAAGGCAAAATTTCTGGAAAAAAAAAAAAGCCGATTAAGATCCCAATAGAGGGATCCCACCCACGAGATCAAGCTCCCTTCTTCTCCCTCACGGCTCTACCCAAAAATTCCTCTGATCAGAAATTACCTAAGAGAATACAACCCAGAAGATGGTAACTCTCTGATAACTCCTCCAGAAGCTCAACGATCTTGCCGTTGCCCACCACAGAAACCCCTTTTCTATTTTTTAGCTTCTTGAAACCTCCCTTTTCTCCTTGGAATTTTTTCTCTACTGCTCTCGAAAAAAAAAAAAAAAGACAAGAAAACTCTCTCCAATCAGACCCGAGAATCAACAAAGAAAAACCAAAAAGGAGAACTCCTAAAAACCAGACCCAAAATCAACAACCGACCTCCTTGTACTTTGCTTTTTGCTATATATATATACCCAAATAACAAAATAAAATAAAAAAGAAAAAGCCTTGCCCCGTCAATCACTAATGATGCCAATTTGGTCTTGTGTTGGCTGTTTTTTCTGTATGGCTGTAGCGTGCAGGAGGCAGGGGCGCGGGATTGGGCGCAGAGTGCAGGAGGTGCAGGCTCGGTGCAGCAGTACAAGGGCGCAGGTGGCAAAGGCTGGTTCGGTGCAACGGCAGGGGGGTGTAAGAGCATGATTGCCGGAAGTAGGGGTATGATTGCATGGGATCTGGGGGTAGAAGGCACGGGATCTTGGGCGCAAAAGGCACGGCATGCAGAGGGGAGAGTGCAGAGCAAGGCCGGGCGTAGAAGCCAGGGGTGCAGAGCAGGGCTAGCTCGCGGTAAGCAGGGGATGCAGAGGTGTAGTGAGCGTGGAAGAGCAAGGCTGGTTCGGGTGTAAGGGAGGAAGAAGGTTCTGGATGCCTTCATTCTTCTTTTTCTTTTTCTTTTTTTTGGGTTTTTTGGGTTTGGATAATTTAGTGGGTTTTGGTTGGGTTTGGGCTAAATGGGTTTTGTGTTTTAGGTTAAATAGGCTTTGGGTTTTGGGTAATCATGGGTTTGGGTAAATTGTGGGTTTTTAACTTTAATGCGTTTCACCCTTCAACTTTCCATCTCTTCAATTAAGTCCCTCATCTTAATTTCCTTCATCTCCCTTTTCCAATTTTCTTTGCAAAAATCCCCTTTTTTGCTCATGAACCTAACAAGGAAATCAAAGACAAAACATATGAGTTTAAAATAAAAATAAAACTAAAATTCTATTAAAAATTTGAGTTATAACAGTTGCCCTCATTTTCTTTTTTCTTTTTTTTTTTTCTTTTTTATCTGTTAAGAATGAAAAGAAAAGATAAGAATAACTCAAAATTTTTTTTTAACGGTTGCTTTTTTTTTTTCTTTTTTGATAATTGAGCAATTAATCAAGTAAAGTAAAACTGATCGAATGACCGAACAAGTGACTATAAACAAATGACAGTCAAATGACCAAATAAGTTGATTGTAAATGATGTCGGTCAAATGACTGAATAAATTGATTGTAAATAGTAATTGTAAACAGTTATTGTAAATGGTGATTGTAAACAGTGATTATAAAAAGTGATTGTCAAAAGGTGATTGTAAATGATGATTGTAAACAGTGATTGTAAAAGGTGATTGTAGACAGTGATTGTAAACAATGATTGTAAAAGGTGATTGTAAATGGTGATTGTAAAAAGTGATTGTAAAAAGTGATTGTGAAAAGGTGATTGTAGATGGTGATTGTAAATGGTGATTGTAAAAAGT